TACAGGGTCACCATGAGTCGAAACCGACTCCACGGCACATAACAACAACAACAACATTCTTTCTGAAGTGGTCCTGCTATCCTTCTTAGTCTGTTTTCTTCTTGAAGCTCTGCTGAATCCTTCCCACTATGGATGATCCTGCTGGCATTTAAAATACCAGGGGCCTAGCAACACACAAGCCACCATCAGGATTAGCTCAAAGCTGATTTTTATGAAATGGAGTTGAGACAAAAGCCTGTTTCCAATCTTTTTACCAATTCTGAAGCAGCTTTCCCTCCCACAGCACTCTTTCTCAGCTGTGTTTGATAGTTCATTACAGTGGTCATGCCCAACGCCCAGACTATACTCGCAGTTATGGGAGTTATTAAGGAAGTAACAGCTGGAACAACTCAGGATACAGCTCTTCTGTAACGACAGTCTCTTGGCCTGTATAGTTTATACAGTAGATAGCAGTGTATGACTGATTTTATCTGAGTGCAGTGATGCCACATGAAGCTCTTTGCACTGCTTGAATAAGTGTTACAGAGCTCTTTAGCTTTGCCGATAAGTGCCCAGAGGCACCTCATTCTACCGGTAAGCGTTAGTCCAAAGGCTCTCAACTCTTTTGCCTTGTGGCTCCGTTAGCCTAGCTCTGTCAAGTGACCGGAAGCAATTCAGTCTGCTAGGAGACCTCGTGCCTGAAGATGCTCAGCTTTCTCTCTCTGTGGGCTGAGAAGCCAGTGTCCTGATCCTGCTGCTTCTGATGCTCTGCTATACTTGCTGCCACTCTGGCCACCTGCATTGCCTCCAGTGTTACAGCTCTCGTCTCCGGGGTCTCAGAGGTTCTCCTGCAGGGACCGCTGACTCCTCTTTCTGGGTGGTAGTGGGATCCCTCTCTGCTCTGAGGTTGACTTTCTTTAAGTCTAGTAGGATGGCAAACCGGTCCCAACCCCATAGGGTTCTTTTTATGTATTATGTTTGACTTGTTAGCCAGCCATCCATTTCAAGACACACAACATACTCACTGCAGATACCTTTTTTCAACAACATAAATGGTGACCATACATGTGGATCTTACCAGATAGAAGACACAGGAATCAAAGTGATTATACCTGTGGCAAGCGATGATGGAGAGAAATTCAGTATCCTCAGCCAAAACAAGGCCAGGGGCTGACTGTGGAACAGACCATGAACTGCTCATATGGAAGTTCAGGATAAAGTTGAAGAAAATTAAAACTCTAGTCCATGAGAACCAAAATAATAACCTTGAGTATATTCCATCTGAATGTAGAATTCCCAGTAAAGGTCTACAGGCACATTATTTGTGTTTGTTGTTGTTAAATACTGTTGAGTTGGTTCAGACTCATAGTGACCCTGTATAGGATTTCCAAGGTGCAACTAGTGGGTTTGAACTGCTGACCTTGTGGTTAGCAGTCCAGTGCTTATTCTGCAGCACCATACTAGGAACCCTTATTTGCATAAGTCCCACCCAATTAGGAGTCCTGATGTGGCGCTGTGGCTAATGTGTCAGACTACAAAGTCGTTTGAACTGCAAGGTTGGTGGTTCAAGCTCACCAGCTGTTCCTTGGAAACCCTATACGGGATTGCTATGGGTCGGAATCAACTTGACGGCACTTAACAACAACAACAACAACAACCCAATTATTGTATGAGAATCACGGGACTGTGGCTAGAAGGGTCATATTTTTTATGCATTAATTCATTGCACCGCAATCCTAATACAGTACAACAGTCTCTTAACTAATGTATCTGCAAAAAATCCTGTTTCCAAATAATGTCATTTTCACAGGTCCTGGGGGTTAGGATTCAGTATGTCTTTTTTGGTTGACAATTCAATCCACACAGGGAAGGATACAAAAATAATCAGTTATATTTTTAATGTTTGTAATACTTTGTTTCTTACTGGTTGGTGGTTATTAGTGTATTACTTTGGTTACCTTTTTGTATGACTGAAATGCTTTTTAATTTTTAAGAGAACTGGTGGATAGCACACATGCTTATACAAACATGATTAACTGTGTGTTTTTTCTGCAGTCAACTAAGCAAGTTGCAAGAAATCTGTCTGAGGAATTGTGCAGTGAATTGTGCTGGTGAAAAAGGAGGGATTGCTGAAACATGTCCTAGTATCCTTTTCACTGAATTGCTTGCTTACTATCCGAGTTGCCTAACCAATAACTGTTTTCCCTGGCTGTTTTCTTAGCAGCAGCTTGGTTTTAGAACAGACTCCCTTGCATCTGGATGTGATGTTTTAGCGCACTGTGGCTTCTGAGATGGAGTGGATGTTGCTAAGTAGGGCTCTTTATTTTTCGTTTTTGTCTTTTCATTGTAAATTGGCTGAAGATTTACACAGCAGATCCATTTTCCTTTCAACAATTTGTATACACTTTGTTTCATGTCACTGATTGCAGTCCCCACAAAAGTAATAGCACCTATCTCACGTCCTCCCTGTGTTTCCTGTTTGCACTTTTCCTCCTTCTCTAGCCTTTCTGAACCTTGTCCTTGGGCAAATGCTGCCCTTTTGATCTCAGATGATCAGTTATTCTAAGGCTTGTGATCTCCTTAGCAATACTGTACCCCATGTAGACTTATTTGTCTGTTTGAATATTGAGTCCTGGAAATGAGTTCATTTCCACACTGAAGGATGACCAAGGGCCATGGTCTGGGGATTCCAGCAGTCTGTCTATCTGACCAGTAACCCTATGTTTTATTTTAATATTTAAAAATGATTTTGAGTTTTGTTTCACATTTTTCTCCCACTCTATCCAAAACCTTCTAATGTGATCCCTTTCAGAGCATTTCGTAGTAGTCGCTGGGTACCATGTGGTCCTCTGGCCTCCTGATTGTGGAGGGTGATGTTTGTGTGATCCATTAGGCCATTGGATGAATTGTTTCCACACGTCTGTAGTTTTCATCATTCTTCTTTCCTCTAGACAGAGAGAGACCTATAGTTCACCAAAGATAGCTGTTCAGGAGCTATTACGACGCCAGCTGCTACTCAGATGTCACACTTGGGTGACATCTGTCTTTTGCCTGTTGCCTTTACCTCCATCACTATCTTGAATGTAGGCAGGCTGGCCAGACCTGTCGCAGCCGTCCTGTGGGCATAAGGAAAGCCATCCAGTGTAGAGCAGCCGAGCGTGGGGGGAGTAGCAGTAGAAGGGACTTGCGAGGCGTGAAGGTGTTCAGCTCTGGACTGCCTTCCTGTGCACCTTTCAGGGAGAAAAAGAACCTTCTCTTTCTTAAGGTTTTGGTTTCATGTAACTGAATGAAATTTTCTTATAGTTCCTGAAAACAAGCTTTCGCAGAGTTTATCATCTCTTTTCTGTTCCTTCTCTTATCAGTGTTTAAAATTTTTTTTATTGCTATAAAATGTAGGAGGTAAGTTTAAAAAAAAATCTCAATGGTAAATCAAATAAACTTTCTATAACTTTGAAAGGTTCTCTGCCAAATATCTAGATAATTAGATAGCAGATTGTGGCCAGTTTCACCTGCGTGAAGAGATGCCATGTGAGTAAGATGTACTCAGCTCTCTTCAGCAAAGTGTTCTGGTTTCTCCCTAGCCAGGGTGTTGGGGTTTCATTTCCTCTGTCCTGGAGTGGGAGACCTGTTGGGACCTGAATTGGCTGGAGCATCCAGGCTGGTCATCCTTACCAACAACAAACCCCTTCACTTGTCCCAGTGTGTCGCACAAATGTGGTGGAAGTTTGGCAGCCCTGAGTTACAAGATTTGCTGGTCAGGTGGTAAAATGTGAAGTCCATATGGAAACAAAGAGTTTGGTAAGGAGTTAATGCCACAGAACATTCTCTGTCTGTTCTGCCTTGTCTGCTTTTAAATGAGCTCAGAAAAATGAGTTGGGTGGCTCAAAGCTTGTTTTCCACATGTAAGAAAGAGCTGGACCGTTTGTGAATGAAGATGGTTGGGTTAATCTGAGTTGCCAGCAATGTACTAGAGAATAAGCATATTGCTTATTTATATGGCTCTTTCCCGGGGGGGAGGAGTGGGAAGTCCCTTAAGGCTTGCAGAAATGAGACTTAGCAAGATAATCAAGTCAGTTGATATTCACAGATACAGTGATGAATGTCTTGCAGTTCCTGATTGAATTCTTGCCCAAAATTGAAGTATTGCTGCCTGTATTTAATCTTCTCATCTTCTTCTTGGTTGATCCCTTGTTGAGGCTGTCACTGAAAGTGGTAAAAATGCTGCAGAATGCAAAGTCCTAGAGCCCCAGTAATGGAGCAGGCGTGTGTCTCTTCATGCTTTACCCAGGGTCTGAGCTTAGAGGAGAGCGAATGTGTCTGCAAGGGGCAAGGCTGCTCAGCAACAGGAGTCCCTTGAACTTTGGGGGAGTGTTACATTGCTTAGAGTAAATTTACTCCTTAGAACTCTAGCCTACATAATGGGAAGTATGAGGAGCCCTGGGGTGGTGCGGTGGGATAAAGCACTGGACTGCAAAGTCAGTTTGAACCACAAGGTCAGCGGTTCAGACTCACCAGCTGCTCCTTGGAAACCAGTCGCTATAAGTCAGAATCGACTCTACAGCAACTTAACAAGAACAACAGCAAATATATGAGTGAAGAATTGTTGGACTTGAACCCTTCGCAGCCACCCTCTGGCTTTAGCAGGGCTAAGGGAGATGGAGGTAGCTGCAGTGTCAGACTGTACAGCTCGACAAGGACACCACATTGGTCCATGGTGCAGTGACCATCGACAACACAGAGCCGTGGAAGACAGGAAGCATGAGGGTCTCCTTCCATGATCGCTGTGAGGATTGTGTGCAGCTGTGAGGGTTGTGTGGGGCTGTGAGGGTTGTGTGGGGCTGTGAGGATTGTGTGCGGCTGTGAGGGTTGTGTGCGGCTGTGAGGGTTGTGTGCGGCTGTGAGGATTGGGTGGAGCTGTGAGGGTTGGGTGGAGCTGTGAG